TGTCACTTTTTGCAGACGACATGATCCTGTATTTAGAAAACCCTAAAGAACCCACCAAAAAACTATTAGAAACAATCAATAACAGTGAAGTTGCAGAATACAAAATCAATGTGCAAAAAACCCACTGCCTTTCTGTATACTAACAACAAAACTTCAGAAAAAGAAATAAAAAGAACATTTCCTTTTGCAATTGCAACAAAAAGACTAAAATACCTAGAAGTAAATTTAACAAAGAATGTGAAAGACCTATATATTGAAAATTACAAAGCATTATTAGAAGAGATTGAAAAAGACACAACAAAATGGAAAAATATCCCATGTTCATGGACTGGAAGAATCAACATAGTTAAAATGGCCATATTACCCAAAGCAATATACAAATTTAATGCAATCCCTATCAAAATCTCAATTTCATTTTTTTAGAAATAGAATGAGAAATCATCAGATTTGTATGGAATCATAAAAGACCCCAATAGCCAAAACAATCCTGAGGATAAAAAAGAACAAAGCTGGATTTATCATGCTACCTGACCTCAAATTGTACTACAGAACTACAATAATCAAAACAGCATGGTATTGGCAGGGAAACAGACACATAGATCCATGGAACAGAATAGAGAGCCCAGCTATAAAACCACAAATATATGGACAAATCAATTTTGGCAAAGGAAGAGAAACACACAATGGAGTAAAAATAGTCTCTTCAATAAATGGTACTGGGACAACGGAAAAGCCACATGCAAACGAATTTAACTGGATTATAGTTTGTTTTCGTGTACAAAAATTAATTCAAAATGGATCAAAGACCTAAATATAATTCCTGAAACAATGAGTTACATAGAAGAAAATATAGATACCACACTTATGGACCTTGGTCGTAGAGAACATTTTATGAACTTGAACCCAAAGGCAAGGGAAGTAAAGGCAAAAATCAATGAATGGGACTATATCAAACTAAAAATGATATGTTTTAATATCTGGAAGAACACTTCCTTTTCAGAAATGTTCAAGCCACTCTATGCTGATTTTTGTACATGAACTTTCATTGTATTTTTACCATTCTAACCATTTTAAGTGTACATTTTGGTGGCATTCAATACATTTGCATTGTTGTGCAATCATCACTTCTATATATTCAAAACTTTTTGATCTCAAAATGAAAAATTGTACCTGACCTCAAATTATACTACAGAACTACAATAATCAAAACAGCATGGTATTGGCAGGGAAGCAGACACATAGATCCATGGAACAGAATAGAGAGCCCAGCTATAAAACCACAAATATACAGACAAATCAATTTTGGCAAAAGAAGAGAAACACAAAATGGAGTAAAAATAGTCTCTTTAATAAATGGTACTGGGAAAACTGAAAAGCCACATGCAAACGAATGAAACTGGATTACAGTTTGTTTTTGTGTGCAAAAATTAATTCAAAATGGATCAAAGACCTAAATATAATTCCTGAAACAATGAGTTACATAGAAGAAAATATAGATACCACACTTATGGACCTTGGTCGTAGAGAACATTTTATGAACTTGAACCCAAAGGCAAGGGAAGTAAAGGCAAAAATCAATGAATGGGACTATATCAAACTAAAAATGATATGTTTTAATATCTGGAAGAACACTTCCTTTTCAGAAATGTTCAAGCCACTCTATGCTGATTTTTGTACATGAACTTTCATTGTATTTTTACCATTCTAACCATTTTAAGTGTACATTTTGGTGGCATTCAATACATTTGCATTGTTGTGCAATCATCACTTCTATATATCCAAAACTTTTTCATCTCAAACTGAAACATTGTACCCATTAAACAACAACTCTCCATTTCCCTCTCTCCCCATCCTCAGCAATTGCTATTCAGTTTTCTATGAATTTGACTATACCTCATAGAAGTGGAATTACTTTCGGTTTATTTCACTTAGCATCACGTTTTCAAGGTCCATCTGCCTTGTAGCATGTATCAGAATTTCATCCCTTTTTATGGTTGAGTAATATTCCATTGTCTGTAGTTACCACCTTTTTTTTTTTTTTTTAATCCATTCACCTGATGACAGATACTTGGGTTTATTTCCAACTTTTGGCCATTCTGAATATGCTTCTCTGGTAATGGGCATTTGAGTAACTGTTTGAGGCCTGTTTTCAATTTGGGGGGTATACACCCAGCTTGGCTGGGTATGTGGCAAATCTGTGTTTACTTTTTGAGGAGCAGCCGTACTGTCTTCCACAGCAGTGGCACCATTTTCCATTCCCACCAGTGACGCACAAAGGTTCCAATTTAGCTACTTCTAAAAACGCTTGTCAGTGTTTTTTTCATATTAGTGATCCTAATGTAGATAAAGTAATAGCTCATTGTGGTTTTATCTTCATCTCCTAACAACTAGTGACCATATTTTCATGTGCTCATTGGGGTTCTGTGTATCTCATTTGGACAAATGTCTCTTCAAGTCCTTTGCACACTTTGACTTGGGGCTTTTTCTGTCACTAAATCTTAGGAGTTCATTGTGTGTTTTGGATATCAATCCCTTACCAGGTGTATTACTTGTAGATGCTTCCTCCTATTCTATGGGTTGCTTTTCACTCTGTTGATAATGGCCATTGAGAAAAGTTTTTATCTACCTATGCTTTGGTGTCACACCCCTTCCCTCCCATTAACATGCCCCGACCAGGGATCAAACCTGAAAACTAGGTATGAGGCCTGACCAGGAATCAAACCCGCAACCTTTTGGTGCCTAATGTAGATAAAGTAATAGCTCATTGTGGTTTTATCTTCATCTCCTAACAACTAGTGACCATATTTTCATGTGCTCATTGGGGTTCTGTGTATCTCATTTGGACAAATGTCTCTTCAAGTCCTTTGTACACTTTGACTTGGGGCTTTTTCTGTCACTAAATCTTAGGAGTTCATTGTGTGTTTTGGATATCAATCCCTTACCAGGTGTATTACTTGTAGATGCTTCCTCCTATTCTATGGGTTGCTTTTCACTCTGTTGATAATGGCCATTGAGAAAAGTTTTTATCTACCTATGCTTTGGTGTCACACCCAGAGGTAATTTATTTAAATCATAGTCAGATCCAACATCATGAAGCTTGTCCTTTGTTTTTTCACTTTGAGTTTTATGGCTTTATATTTAGTTCTTTGGTCCACTTTGAATTCATTTTTGCACATGATGTGAAAAAAAAAAAATCCACCTTCATTCTTTTTTGGGTATCTAGTTTTCCAAGAACCATTTGTTGAAAAGATTGCCCTTTCCCGATTGAATGTTCTGAGCACCCTTCCATACAATATTTGACCATATATGCAAAGGTTTATTTGTGGGCTCTGTATTATACTCAATTGGTTGGCCTTTATTTATGCCTGTACCACTGTGTTTTGATTATTGTAGCTTTTGAGTATGTTTTAAAATCAGAAAATGGGAGTTCTCTCAACTTTGCTCTTCCATTTCAAGATTATCCTTGCTATTCCTAGTCCCTTGAGGTTCCATTGAACTATGTTGGGTTTTTCTATTTCTGCAAAAATGCATATTAAAGATGGTGACGGGATTGCATACAGTCTGTAGGTTGCTTTGTGTAGTATCAATATCTTAACTATATCATCTCTTCCAATGCATGAACACAGGATGTCTTTTCATTTAGTTCTATTGGCTTCTATTTCTTTCAGCAGTGTTTTGTAGTTTTCAGTGTAGAAATCTTTCACCTCCTTGGTTAAATTTCTTTTTAAGTATTTTACTTCTTTTTCTATTCTCAATCAAGGGTATGTTATTGATTTTGGAATGAGGGGAAGGAAAGAGAGAGAGAGAGAGAGAGAGAGAGAGAGAGAGAGAGAGGGTGTCTCTCCCCCATACACACCCCACCCCC